AAATGAAGTCTATCTGGTTTTTGGTGTGTCCATCTGGTGAAATCCATGTTGCCTTGTGTATATCCCTGTGTTTGAACACACTGCCACCAATCACCAAATCATTGAAGGCGCAGAAGTCTGAGAAGAGTTCACCATTTTCGTTCATTTCACCGAGGGCCTCACGACCCATGGTGAGTTCTCTTCCTGTATTGTCTCCTCCCAGTTTCGCATTCATGTCGCCCATCAGGATTTTGATATCGCTCTTTGGGACGTTGTCCATTACTGTTTGTAGTTGACTGTAGAAATCCTCCTTCTTCTCATGTTCTGAGGCGTTTGTAGGCGCGTAGCACTGAATGATTGTAACCTTTTTTCCTTTTGAGTTGAACCTGGCTGTCATTATCCTGGAGGAGATTGGTTCCCACTGCATGAGAGCTTTGGCTGTTGTTGGTGACATCATGATGGCTACTCCCTCGGTGTGCTCGTGATCGTCCTCTGGGTGACCGGAGTAGATTATTGTCTCTCCAGTTGATAGTTGGCTCCTTCCACATCCGTTCCATCTGCTCTCGCAGATTCCCAACACTTCTATTATATATCTCCTCATTTCTGCGGCTACCTGAGCAGCCTTCCCAGCTTCGTACATTGTACGAACATTCCACGTCCCCATCCTTATTTTCGCTTTCATCGAAAGAAGGCACATCGGCTGACTGGCATCCCGAAGGCTTTCACCAGCCCGCGTCATTTCACTTCCCCGATTCCAGCAAAGAATAAGGTCACTATTTGTAATTTTAGAATTTTGAATATATTTGTGCGTTGAAGTTTTAGTAGCAATCTGGTTAAGTATTGGGGGTGGAGTTGCTAGCACCACGCCCCAACCCTCCCTCTTTATCCGGGCTTGGGACCGGCTAGAATACTAGTGACCTAGTAATCTAGGCGAGGTTTACTTGAGCTATGTGCAGTCACAAAATGCTGGAATGATAACAAAATGACTGTTTTTGCTATAAAACCTGCTGTACTATTTAGTGACTTGCTACAAGAAGGAGTTTTCTGAAGTTCTAGTGATAAGTCGTGACCAATGAGGTCCATCCAACCGAGTGGGAGGATGAATTTCCCACCGATGACATTGGTTGGTGCCAGTCGCGCTAAATCACGAATTAGTAGTGGTTGGAATTCATGTGCTGGCTGGCCATTGAGGAGTCGGGTGCTAGTGGTGGCTGAATGATATACGAGTTAGCTTGCCTTGTAATCGGAAGGTCCTTGGTTCCAACCCTGGCAGTTGGGATGTAGTGCCGATGATTCTCAAACTAGGATGAAACAGCTGTCGAGTACTCCCAGTTGGTTTCCAGTGGTTCTCTAACTGATATCAATCCTTGGTCAAACTCGTCAAAACAAATCTAATCCTTACAAACCAACTATTGAGAACATATAAAAAAGCAAAATTGCTTCAACAGTGCAGCTATACAGCTACACAGGTCCAATAACCTTCTCCAGTAGAAATACAAGTAGTGTGTAACAAAATTCTTCGACTAAAATCAACCGTATGAAGTATCTTAAAATGGAGTGGAGTATTCCCAACAACGGTTAGATCAAAACTTTGTCAACAAAAAACACACACCGAAAATTCCTGCAGACACTCTAAGGTCACAAGGACTCTGACTTACTCAAACAAAATGACATATTGTCAATATCATTAAACAAACACAAAGAGAAGCATTAAAATCAGAAATTAAACAGGAACAAAGACAAATGAGAAAGATCAAGTCAACAGATCCTATGCAAACAGTCTAAGAGAATAGAGGATCATGATTACAAAGTTTGTTCGAATGTCTAAATAAGTAGCGACATCGTTAAAACAGATAGTTGAATTCGATATTTTTTCCTGTTTGTAGCCTAATTTAAAAGCTATTTGGTGTGCATTCAAACTACTCAAATTTCAAGATTTTTTTATATGCATTTTCATTTTGCAGTTTGTAATCAAGATGTCTTCATTGTTTGTTTCCTACTGGCTTCTCCTCAGTGTCGTCACGCTCTACCTACGTCTCTTATTTATTGACTTCTCCACTGACAAACAAACTATCACTGCTTTCCCGGTACGTTAATCAACAAGTAACAATAACCACAAACTGACTAAACGAAGATGTAAGACGCTGACTTGATCAGAATTTGAATATCATTACCCGAGTGGAGTATGGTATTAGTTGATTTAAATGAATTGAAAACAAAGACTGTGAAAAATCTATATTTATTGAATTCATTAATTTCGGTAGGAAGACTCGTCAGCTGAATACTACCCTACAAACATTGTTATTTATACAATATTTTTAAAGGTTAAACTCATACAAACGCATAAACATTGTGACAGTAACAAATAAGTAACAATTTCAACAAATACACGATCTGCTAACAGCACTATAAAGTCTACAGTATGCATCAAAGCGAAGATAAAACATCAAGCCTCGACACATCAAAATATATCTTTCAACTTACATATGTTTGTGAATGTGTATGCATTGGGCGTACGAAAAGATGTCTTTCGACTAGCGTTGCCGAACACTGTCTCAAATAACAATCTAGTACTCATGATTGCATCACAATGAGCTCAAACAAACGACATTTATTGGACTGTCATCATAAGATGATGTTGAGTAAAAGCTTTATAGTTATGAATAAGCAGGTTAATGAAAAAACCCTTGGTTTTCTTGAAGCCAGCTCAGTTAGATTAAATAAGCCGGATCTATGTAATACAAAATGAGACAGTACTTATCTTAAATCTACCTTGGTAGCATACTTTTAGTTTACCTTTTGAAAATCGGAAAATCATAGTTGAGTATTAATCTTTCTCATTTGAACTGTGATCAAGATTTGATCGAGTAGTTCCAAAATAATTGGGCGCTAAGTGAGAAGTAGACATTTGTAAAAATTTTATTTGTACAAACTCAGCGAAATTGGAATGAGTGATTCCAACGCTTCCTGCGTTCGGAAAACTCGTCCGAACTTCTTCAGGGAAACTAATCGAAATTAACATAACAGAGGTTTAAATATAAAAAAGATATCTCTTGTTTAAAAAAAAATTATCCAGTCATATGGGTAATGAAACAGGCATCAGTATGTATAATAATTAAACAAAATTGTATGAGCTGTGATCAAAATTTGACCTCAGACTTTCAAATATTATCTATTGTTGGTTTGTAAGGATTAGATTTGTTTCTACGAGTTTGACCACGGATTGAAAGCAGCTGGAGAAGCACTGAAAACCAGAGAGCACTGGACAGCTGTTTCATCCTACTTTGAGAATCATAGACGGTACACACCAACTGCCAGGGTTTGAACCCAGGACCTTCCGGTTACAACGCAAGCTAACTAGTATACCATTCAGCCACCACTGGAACCCGACTCCTCAACGGCCAGCCATCACATGAATTCTAACTTCTACCAATTCGTGATTTAGCACGACTGGCACCAACCCATGTCATCGGTGGGACATCCATTCTGACACTTGACTTGATGGACCTCACTGGTCACGACTTCTCACTAGAACTCTAAGAAACTCCGTCCTGTGGCAAGTCACTAGCGAGCATCAGATTATGCATTTGTTTGTTTACGTGTGTATAAAAACTTGTTTCCTATTTTACCTAATTAACAAAGCTTTAAAATTCACATGAAATAAACGAACAAATTTTTTATACCATATGATAACTGAATTGAAAACTATTCAACCAAAATAGCATTGATTAATTGATCAGTCATTAGAAGTGTATGCGTGTGTGTGTGTGTTATAGTTGCAGAAAATATTTTCATTGGGATTAAATTTGAAGTCTTTCGCTTCGATTCTGCTTCTCAGTTCTCACTGATTTGATTTATTTCAAGTATTTAACCACGGATTTCTATCAGTTAGAGAGTCAATTAAGACCAGCTGGAAGTAGTGAACAACCGTTTCGTCCTAATTTGGGATTCATCCGAGGTACGCACCTACCGAGGTTCAAAACCAGGTTAGAACGTGGTCAAACTGAAAACAAATCAAACCCCTAAAGACTGACCCTTCAAAATTAATCTGATACTCGTTAGTGATTGGTTACACGACGAAGTTGCCTGCTGTCCTAATGAGAAGTCGTGACCAGTGAGAACCACCCGGTCGGGAGTGAGGATAAATACTCACCGCCAATGATATTGGCTTGGGTCAGTCGCGATAAAAACACGAGTTGGTAGGATTGCATGGAGGATTTCATCATGAGCTGACATCATTTAGAGAACCACTGGAAAACCTGGGAGTACTGGATATCTGTTTCGTCCTAGTTTGGGACTCCTCAACAGTACGCACCCACCACCGGGGTTCGAACCCAGAACCTTCTGGTGACAAGGCCAGCTCGTAGACCATTGAGCCACTGGGACCCGATCCAATGGTCCTTGAATTGTAACTTCTGCCAACTCACGGCCTTTTCCAATTCGAATCCCAGTGGATGCGTACTGATGAAGAGTCCCAAACTAGGCTGACGAAACAGCTGTCCAGTACCCCCAGGTTTTCCAGCGGTTCTCTAACTGATGTCAGCTCATGATGAAATCCTTCATACAATCAAACAAAATCCCTACAAAAACCAATGCTTGAGTTGGTAGGAATTAGATATCATGTAGTGGCCATTGAAGAGTCGGGACCCAGTGGTTGAATCGTATTCGAAATTTCTTTTCCGCCATCTTGTTTACATTTAAGTTTTGAAACGTCTAATGGTTACTTTGGTATGAATAGACTGAAAGGAATATTACGAATACTTCTTATATCCATAAACACTAAGTACTTGAACCTTATCAGTCTTCAATAATCTATAGAACTGACATTGATTTTGTTGAACAACCATGATATATATATGTTTGCAATCAATAATTTGGAAGTATTTCCTTTATGAACCTTTTGTCATTCGCTTCGTATTTGTAAACTATTCGACCAACTGGAAGGTTTTCATTGGCTCAACACTGAATAAACAATATGTACAAATATAAATAAGGGAATAGTTCAAAAGGTAATACAGGCAACAATTATGAAGAATTTATTCAAAATACTCTTTCTTCTGGCTATTATATCTGTCCAGTGTAATCTTGGAGGTAATTACTGCTTTGCAGGCATTACATTTTTGTATTATGATGTCACACCACTTTTATATTTCACTATATTCTTGAAATTGAAATAGCGACTCCTGATTCAATTCGGACGCGTTGATCACGAATACCGCTTGACTACTCCCATAACATTATACTACAAACACTTGTTCCACAGTCCTCTGTACTTAGCTGATAACATGCAGCGAAGTGAGCGGAAATGTATATTTCAGTATCAACCACAGTTTATCTTACAGAATAATGTATGATTTAAAAAATCACCAGGGATGTATCAGTTAGTCTTTAACCATGATCAATAAAACAGTGGGTTTTATTATACGTAGGCCAATTCTGATTGGTTTATTTCCAGAATGACCTTGATCACTATATCACCATTAAAGGATAATCCATTGTTTATCTGCCTACCTATCAATTTGACAATGCCTTATATCACATAATATTGTTTTAATAGTTAATAAAACTTGATGTTAGACTAATTGACAATAAGTCATTTTATGGATTCCTAGGAGAGTTACCGATGGATGCAGATTGATAAGAAGTGGCTGAAATTTCAAATCAGCAAATCATTAGCTACAGTGGAGGTAGGTAGAAGCGTTTGTTATTCCTCGAATCTGGATTTAGTTTACGTTGTGGTCATGAAATCATCTCGCTGAATAACTTTTCGTCTTATTGTTTAACCTTGAGCCAGGTGATAACCAATCAGAACAGTTTATTGATCTCAGACATAGATGACTTTTGATATGCTTAAAAATGTTTAAATGTGATGAGATTTTCCGTAATGGAAAAGGTTCCTTTTCCAAGTATGGCATCTTCTCTTGTTACAGATGTACATGTAAGTCATCAGCATTACTCATTTTTATTCGATTGTGATATTTTTTTCAGAGGGTGGATGTGTCTCTCGACATCATGGGAATAGATATTCACAATCAGTTAATCAAGGAGTTGGAATGAACTCTGGAAATATTGGTGCACTGGACACAGGAACATGTTCTTCGCAAAATTGATTTAGTTTGGTACATTTCAAGTCAACTTATACCATACTATTTAGAAACAAATAAGACTGTAAAGCTCATTTAATATTCAACTATCTTTTTTTGGTTGTTTATAAAGAATGCGATGAGCAAATAAAATTTGTCACTGTAATTCGTTTTCTTTATTTACAGCGCCCCCACCACTGCCATGTTTTTCGTCACAGTATGACATAAGCACTTTTTATAAGGATTAAATAAAGCAACTGAATTTTGTTTAGGTTGAACTGACAGGTAAAACAGAATGCGGCTATCTTTATAGAACCCAAGGTAGTAAGTGATCAGTGTTATGCATCTAGTCTTTGGTTTGGGGAAGACTGAATTCTATCAGTCAGGTCAGTAATGTGTCCGCCATACTGGATGGCCCTCCATCACGATGCATTATCAATCATTTTTATCAGATAGTTAGAGGCAGTCAACCCTTCACCTGGGTTTCGTGCTTGATGGCACTCACCAGTCATCAGTGCTTCTCTAAAATCTTGAGGAGACTCATGTCCTCTCTGAGGTATGAACCAGTGTCACCCAGTATTGCAGTTAGAGACATTACCACTGAGTTATTCGTCCTCGCGATTGACTCCTTGTAGAATTGTATTAGATAATTTGATCGAGTGGAGTTGTAAGCATTGTGTGATTATTATAAGACGCATAAGAAATCATCAATGAGTTGGCTTAGATAGTTTCATTTAAGCTTTATATAAATCTAAAAGAAACCAGAACTATGAAAAAAACAGTATTTAATGAATTGGTGAATTTCGGCAGAAGGACTTGTCAGCTGAATACTCCTCTGCAAGCATTTTTTTATTAAGGTTAAGTACATACAAATACATGAACGTTATGACAACAAATAAGTATCGATTTGACAAAATAAACGATCGATAAGCGGTAGATAAAATAATAATATTGAATAAGGCATTTAGAAGACAAATTTCGCGAGATCATACCGTCATTTTGTAGTTTCTCTACAATCGCTTTACAACTACTAGGATGATTCACAGTAATAAAATAAAAGGCATGACAATTATTCAGTTATGTAAAACAAAAGTACATACTAATGATCAGTCATATTTAAGTTACCCATGGTAGGCGAAGGGTGAAGTCTATTGTTTTTTGTACATATAGTTTAGGATGTATGTGATTGATCCAAAGTGATTCCATCACCTTCAATAACCAACCTTGAATTAGAGTTATGTATGATACTGGCTAGTGGCCTGTACAGGACGGAGTTTCTTCGAGTTCTAGTGAGAAATCGTAACCAGTGAGGTCCATCCAGTCACGTGTCAGGGTGGATGTCCCACTGATGACATTGGTTGGTGCCAGTTGCGCTAAATCACGAATTGGTAGAAGTTGGAATTCATGTGCTGGCTGGTCACTCAGGGTCGACTCCCAGTGACTGAATGGTATACGAGCCTACCATGTAACCGGGAGGTCCTGGCAGTGGGTGCGTACTGCCGATGATTCCCAAAGTAGGATGAAACAGCTGCTGCAGTACTCCGTGGTGGTTTTCAATGCTTCTCTAACTGATATTAATCCGTGATCAACTAGTAAAAGGAATTAATGGAATTATGAACATCTAGATATGATGATGACAATAATCTTGAAATATAAAGAACCTTCGTAAAATCAAATGAATAAATTTGACATACGTAAACCATATGGGACTAAGTAACACGAATAAACATGTCTAGTCTAAACTCATAAGATAGTTTGAACACTTTTCAACAAGACTAATACTCAGTTATCTACGACTATGGACTTTTAGTTGAACGTGATCTGATGAAAAGTACACTCTGTTTAAAGTGTTTGACAAAAGTAGACTAATACTTGTAAGTCTGAGGTGAATTGAAATTTCTACTTTTCAGAAAATTATTGAAAAACAGAACCATTAACCCAGTAAAGAGGCTGTTTCCGGCTAATTCATTTTCTTCAGTGAGAGGATTTTTAAAAAGGAGCTGAGTTGTCATAAGTAAAGTTTGTTATTATAGAACATGATTTAAGCCAGTGCGTATTCTCTTCGGTAAATTCTCAACAGCTTTTACATTAACATAATGAAATATTACTCATAGGCATTTGAAATAATGAGGTGAATAAAATATAGGATCAGAGGTGTGAATTAATGGATAACAATCGAGGTGATCACTCTAATAATAAATTCACTCAAGTGTTTATGCAATCTAGGCAACTGTGCGTGTATCGGTAGAATGTGTACACTAATAGGGATAGACAATATTTACAGTTATCCGGTGTCACCGAGAGAGATAACTATCTTAGGTTGGAGGCGAAGGCAAAGAAAGGAAGACAGGTTGAACAAACGTTTTCTAAACACTGAGATTGGGTTGACAAATGTTTATGGCAACTGCCTCAGCTAGGCTTAGCAACCGAAGACGTGACAATCTAGGGAGTTGAGATGGCAACTTGTATCGAAATGTAAAAGCTAAATTTTTGTCAGTTTTGTGCTCCGTATCCACTAGGTGTGTGTTCTGGCAGACTTAACGACTCCTTTCCTAACCATGTTGGACAATGCTCTAGAAATCCCCATTGAGTCATATGAAAAAGAGAAGACATTCAGCGAAGAGACTCTTCTCGGCGAATTCATTCACATAGCTGTACAATCGCATTTATATATAAATATTTGTGTGTGTGTGTACATGAGGTTTGTCAAGTTTAGATAATTGATTAGTTAATACAAGAATGATGTAGTATAGAGACAAAGTTAATCAGACAGCAACTAAAGTAAGACTGAGTTAAAAAACTAGATGACGTAATACAATTGGCTAAAATATTACAACTTAGGTCAGGATAGCAACAGAGGTAATTACAGGTAGAGATTAAGTAGAAGTGAAATTGAGTGAATAAGTTGGATGACGTAACATGAATGACTAGAAACTGAGCGTTGTTCAAGTCAGTAACAGTGGTAGTGGGGTGTAGAGATTGAATCGGGTGGGGGTAGAGAACAAGAAAGTTGAAAATGTAAAATGTTACAATTGAGAAGACAAAATAATACTAATGAAGAGACAGAAGAAAAGATTAGGTAGAATTTACATGTCGGCTAATAAGATAGATCAACGTATCCAACAAGACAATGATTTCATTAGATGTCACATCACTATTCACAAACGTTCCACTGACTGAAACAATATGCTACATATGCGAACTTATTCACTCAATGGGAATAAACATCGGTATACCCACCGAGCATCTTAAAGAACTCCTACTGAGGTGTACCCTGAATGTTCAATTCTCTTTCAACAACGAGATATATCGCCAAAAGGATGGTATAGCTATGGGCTCACCACTAGGCCCTTTGCTTGCAGATTTCTTCATGGCAAAACTCGAAAACACATGCCTGAAGAAAATGATCAATACCTTCGAAATCTATAAAAGATACGTCGACGACACCTTCATTATCGTCAACAACGAAGAAAATCTAGACGACATCTTAAAGTCGTTCAACAACTGCCACCCTGCAATTCAGTTCACGATGGAGAAAGAGTCCAACTCCACAATATCTTTTCTTGACGTCCAACTAACTAGAAGAGAACAGGATGGAACACTGAGAAGATCTATCCACAGAAAATCGACGTGGAACGGACAGCTTACTAACTTTCACAGTTGGGTACCACTATACACCAAACGAAACCTGATCCGTTCACTCAGCTACAGAGTTCGCAGAATTTGCATCCCGGACACCATAGAAGATGAACTGGACAACCTCAAGAGAATCCTCGTCGAGAATTGCTATCCAGAAAGATTTATTGCAAAATCTATGAATCCTAGACCAGAAAAGCCGCCCATACTTAGCATCAAGAAAAAAACTACTCTACATGAACCTCCAATTCAATGGAGATTTATCTGCGGAAACACTAAAAAATCGACTGTCGCGCTCACTCAAGAAGACCTTCTTCGCAGCTGAACTACGAATAACCTTCTCCACAAAACCTATGATTCATGTGAACGTGAAGGATAAGCTACCGCTGCTGGCCTCATCAATGTGCATTTATCAATTCACCTGCTCGTGTGGAGCCAGGTATGTCGGCCGTACCCAGCGCTCGCTTTCCAAACGTATCACCGAGCACTTACCAGCATGGTTTTACAAAGGAGAAAATCGATGCCCCCGCAGTTCCATCTTAGAACATCTGATGGAATCCGGATACCAAGCTACACCGCAAACAAACTTCAAAGTCGTCTACAGAGTAAGAGGTGGTCTCCCTAAAGGTGTACGAATCAGACTTCTTCAAACTGCAGAAGCAATGGCGATTCACTTGCTAGGTCCTGAACTCTGCATACAGAAGAAGTTCGTTCAGTCACTACACTTGCAATGGACGTGATCTATCTTATTAGCCGACATGTAAATTCTACCTAATCTTTCCTTCTGTCTCTTCATTAGTATTATTTTGTCTTCTCAATTGTAACATTTTACATTTTCAACTTTCTTGTTCTCTACCCCCACCCGATTCAATCTCTACACCCCACTACCACTGTTACTGACTTGAACAACGCTCAGTTTCTAGTCATTCATGTTACGTCATCCAACTTATTCACTCAATTTCACTTCTACTTAATCTCTACCTGTAATTACCTCTGTTGCTATCCTGACCTAAGTTGTAATATTTTAGCCAATTGTATTACGTCATCTAGTTTTTTAACTCAGTCTTACTTTAGTTGCTGTCTGATTAACTTTGTCTCTATACTACATCATTCTTGTATTAACTAATCAATTATCTAAACTTGACAAACCTCATGTACACACACACACAAATATTTATATATAAATGCGATTGTACAGCTATGTGAATGAATTCGCCGAGAAGAGTCTCTTCGCTGAATGTCTTCTCTTTTTCAAATGCTCTAGAAGACGAAGGTGGGCTTGCTGAGTAGTTCCACCTGTGTAAATATCTCCATATGAACAATTAAATTTTTATAAATACACACTGAAGTGGCGAGACTCGGTAACTTATCCTTCACCTGCGTTGGAATTATCCACTGAAGAATGTTTTAGCTATTATTTTTTGAAGTTTTGATAACAACAATTCAGTTGCT